GTATGTATATATATACAAATTTAGAGAACAGAGCCTCTCTCCATACTGCACAATTCAGCGGTTCTTCAAGTACACAAGTATCTAAATTAAACTTTTAAACTCAAATAACGAAAAAAATATACACGTAAATACACAAAGAGTTGTTGAGGTTACTTACCGTGGGTGGCATGGACGTAGATCTTGAAGCAAAGATGGAGAAGAATCAGTAGGAATGGTCTTTTTTCCATGATTTCAGAACATCAAAGTATATACACTTGATGTCAGATCTGTAAAGAACAACAAAGAGACATGCATTTTTATTTAAGTTCTGGTTTTGTTTAATCACGTTCCTTACTACCTTCATAGCTCACGTATTATTATTATTATATGCTAGCACGAATTGCAAAGTTAAATATGAAAATATACCTGCATAGATTATAATCCTACAGAACTCTCTCCGATCTGCTTGGTTGAGTTTGCTGTAACGCATTATTTATTAAAAACTCCAAAGAAACAAAGTATTGTTCTTACATTAATCTTTCTATCCTTTTCTGAGATTTTTTTGGAGGGGGAGGGGAGTAAAACGAATATTAGCTACGTTTCAAACCTGCCATTTTCTGCTTGTAGGTCAGATGATTTAGCTAATTCCGCAACTGCGTCCCCAGTTGCACGCTTCTCAAGTTTCGTTTCATTTTGTCCTTAATAGCGAATGAAACGAAAACCTAGAAACCTGATTATTTAGTTCATTAAAAGTTCGACTGCCACCAACAGAGACGCGGGTTCGAGCTTGGCCGGGTTTCTTTTTTCATTTCTTCATTAAAAAACAACAACAACAAAAGTCTGCGTGTCATCCTTAAACTACTATATATATATATATATATTAATTCTAAGAATATTTTGTTTCCTTTTTAACGCATCTTGACTTTAATGATTGCTATAAGTACAACCTAAAAATGCGTGCATTTGGGTCGCCGGTGGTCATTTCAATCCTGTTTGCAATCGTTGAAATAATTATATTCACTGCAAAAAGATAATGAACACTATCACGACCCCAAAACGCTGGTTGACCTCGTGGTAGAGCTCTGAACTTTAAGCTGTTGGTGCATTATAAGAGTGCCAGTCATTTCCTTAACGTGGGTGCTGCTCGCTGGCTGTCTTCTCTATGGTCGATAGTTCAAAATTAGGGATGGCCCTAGTAGCTTAGTCATAAATACAAATATCTTATTTACCAAAACATGTCGACGGTAAAAGAAGTAATGCTACGTACATTAAAGAATAACTCGTGCTTTGCATACAAAACGTTTTTTGGTTGAGATATTTTGTGTTTGAATTCACAAAGTTTATAAAATGTAAAGGCAATGTTATGTATTTAAAGTGATCAAAACAGTTAAGTGACCTGACCAGACTATTCACGTACGTATGACGTTAGGCACGAAGAGCCCTAAACGAATCTGATGGTCGTGCGGGGCGTCTCAATGGCCGCGAGGTTAAATCTAAGTGAGTTAAACCTATTCCACAATACATGATACCCACCAAACACTTATAGTACAAAAGGCACTTTAAACAGAATTGTCTGATCAAAATATAACAAACCGACAGACTTATGTAGTAAGAGACGCCAAATGTAGGGATGCTTTCAAAACCTGGATATCGAGTGTAAGTATTAAAACTCAACAGGTGGCGGTACCTGTATTCTAAGTGTCTGTATACAAATAAAAAAATTCACACACAAAACCTTAACACTGTCGTTTCAGATGGGCTCTAGGGGCTGACACACCCATTCCCCCAATACATTTCCCTCACATAGTACTATTTACACCCACCCTCCCTTATACATATGGTGATGTCGTCTGTTCTTTCCTATTCCTAATTTAATTTTTGCAGAGTTTAATGAAGTTTAAAAAATCTTCCCACGTGTATAGATAATGAAAAAAATTAAAGTCGCGTGTGGGCTAAATGGTGAAATCTGTATTAGTCAGTTGAGGTTTTCTTTTTTTTTGGATAATGAAAAAAAAAGTGACAGATTGTTTGTTTGTAATTAAGCAGAAAGCTACACAAAGGGCTATCTGTGCTCTGCCCACAAAGAGGTATTGAAACCCGGTTTTTAGCGTTGTAAGTCCGAAGACGTCCACATATTGGACCATATATGATTATTTGTAAGTTCAAAATTGATCAAAGAAATTGCGAGAAATCGCCGTTTTCTATGTAAAGTATTGTAAAGTATTAACAGTAACGTTGATAGATTTTGGTTTGACTGTTTTCTATGAATCGTATGTTATTACGAGTACTGTAACAGCATAGTGGGGCCCGGGCATGGCCTGGTAGTTAGGGCGCTCGACTTGTAATCTGAGGGTCTAGGATTCGAATCCCCGTCACAGAACATGCTCGCTCTTTTAGCCGTGGGGGCGTTATAACGTGATGGTCAATTCAACTATTCGTTGGTAAAAGAGTAGCCCAAATGTTGGCGGTGGGTGGTGTTGACTAGCTGCCTTCCCTTTAGTCTATCACTGCTAAATTAGGGACGGCTAGCGCAGATAGTCTTCGTGAAGCTTTGCGCGAAATTGAAACCAAAACCAAATGAAGGACCACAAAAGTTCAGACATAGTCATCCCTAATTTATAACTTTTGACCATACACGGTGAATTAATGATCTCTTAACCGAAAAATGAGATTGACTGTGACTCTTATTGTTTGTTTGTTGTTAAGCACAAAGCTACACATAGGATTATCTGTGTTATGCTCACCGCGGGTATCGAAACCCGAATGTTAGTATTATAAACCAACAGAATCATCGCTAAGCCACCGGGGGCCGGTCGTCACACTTATAACACGCGTACAACAACAGCGTATCGCGATTCGAACCTTGGACCTTAAGAATTGCAGCACTGTACGCCAACCCACTAGGCAACGCCCGGCTCATATTGAAAGGGCAAAACTATTTACATGTGGGAAAATTATTTCTTGGAAATGAAACTTACTCTTGAGCACAATTGTTCACATTTTATATATAATATATTTTTTAAACTGATATGTTCTAATTGTTTCTCTCTACCCTTGTTTTGTTAGAGGCTTAACTAGATCAATTAGAAGAGCTCATCAAACAGTAATTAAAGGAGGGCAGTGCAGTATCTAGATGGAACAATCATATTATATTTACTACGTCTTTTAGACATTGATGAATAGTATATGATAATTAGTCAAAAACTTATTTTTTTCTCTCATATAACTCATCACATAATGGAAGAGATGATGATAGTCATTCTAAGAAATCACTTTATCTTTGATCCCTTAATAAGGTTGATACAGCAAAACACTGGTTCTCAGAATATTTCATTCTTTAGTTCACTGGAAAGCCCAACAGGGGCGTAGCCTTGGGGGAGAAGCTGGATGCCCGTCTTAACACTTTATGAAGTCCAAATTTCAAACTTTTACATTTAAAAAATGACGGTTAACATAACATACCAATCCTGGATTATGGTCTCTTTAATCGTTGGTAAAAGGGGGTAGCCCAAAAGTTGACGGTGGGTGGTGTTGACTAGCTACCTTCCCTTTAGTCTCCTAAACCTTTAGGGACGGCTGGTGCGAAATTCCAAAAACAAACCTTCTTGACTTAGACATCAAAATGAATTTGTTATATTCTAGGCCTTGTAATTCTAGTAATAAGACACGTATGGCTGTAAGTAGAGACGTTTGGGTTTCTACGTTTTTACAGTAAGGTGAAATATGAAGTAAACATGGATATTTCTAATGAACCAACCAGCTTTCTTGTTTTATTGATCTACCACAGAACGAACCAACCAGCTTTCTTGTTTTATCGATGTACCACAGAACGAACCAACCATCTTTCTCGTTTCATCGATCTACCACAGAACGAACCAACCAGCTTTCTTGTTTTATCGATCTACCACAGAACGAACCAACCAGCTTTCTTGTTTTATCGATCTACCACAGAACGAACCAATCAGCTTTCTTATTTTATCGATCCACCACAGAACGAACAGCCGTGATATGATTCGGTAATTGTCACGCATTGTCGAAGTAAAAACCGTGTGCAGAATTTTTGCGTAAATCTGATTCCACCAATAAACACGTTTAGTTTTGTTTTGGTGGAAACAAGATTAACAATAATAATCTCAGACTTAATAGTCTGACAATCAGTGAAAGAATGACGTACAGATGTGAACACTTTGGACATAAAAAGTTACATTGTTTGGAGAGTATTATGTAAAGTATGAGGCCTTTAGATACGTTGGTTCAATAAATCGATTTAACACGTTTGTTTTGTTTTCTTTTTTCGTGGCAATTATCAAAAAGATTTCAAATTTGTCTAAAACAAGTAGGCCAAAACGGTTAAAATGTTTTGAAACGCGAATTAAATAAGAACTGGATCAGTTTTCTGACAGTTATATGTACCTCTATGTATACTGACAAAAAGCACATACCAAAAACAAAAGCCGATCGTAACGAGTCTGTAAGTTTAACTGAAACAATGGGCCATTCGCGCTGTACCCAGTGCAAGTATTGAAACTCGAGTTTTAGTGTTATGCTCTACGAAAAATAGTTTTTGAAGTTGAAATGAAGGCTATAAAATACTAAATCGTTTATAGAGCTATAGCCTAAGAGCTCAAATTAACAGACAGAAATAACTAAAATCCAAACAGCAAATCGCGATGTGTTAGATTGGCCTGGTGGTTAGATGGCGCTCGACTCGCGATCTGTGTGTCGCGGGTTCTAATCCTATTAACGAGCATGCTTGCCTTTTTTCAGCCATGGAACGTTATAATGTGACGATCAATCCCACTATTCGTTTGTAAAGCGTAGACCAAGGGGGGGGGG